ACACACACACACACAGAGACACAGACAGACAGACAGACAGACACACACACACACACAGAGACACACACACACACACACACACAGACACACACACACACACACAGACACACAGACACACACACACACACACACACACACACACACGCGCCAAGAATCATCCTGAGGGTGCATCTGTACCATGGACATTAAATGGTTGTTCATGAGATGAAAACCAGGGATCGTCAGAGATCCCAACCCATCCCCAGATATGGTTGTGCGCTGTGCGTTCTGCCCCCCCCCCCCCCCCCCCATGGGCAACAGCTTAACGTTGAACTGGTGTAGCGGCCGTTGCCACACACACGCACACAACACCGTCTTGTCTCGTCTTGCTTGGTTTCTTTTTGCAGATCCCGCTTATCTCCGCAGGACCCCGCTTTGCTGCGGGTGAAGGCCACGTGGCCGGGGTCCGGTATCGGAGCGCGATCGTGAAGAGATTGAAAGCACAGGGTCACACCACGAGGAACTTCCTAGGTAGGATAAGGGGGACCCTTAACAGGGAACCCCTTCTTAACCCTCTTCTGGCTTTCTTAAACAGGGACCTTACTCAGAGGGTCTATATCCCCAAGGGTCCCCCTAATCCTGTCCCCTAGAACTGCGCATCACGCCTGCGCAACGTAGGTGACTGACTTCGGTCTATCAGCAATCATCAAGGAGCCCAGAGATGACGTGTGAAAGCAGTTTTGAAGAATGCACGAAGTTTCGAAGACCCCTGCCCGAAGTCCAATCTCACGAGGAAGGCGCGGACCATGAGATCCGGAAGCAGCCACAGGCCTTCCACATGAACGCATCATCATCTGGCCCCGTTTGAAGCGCACCCTTTCTCCATCGCTCTTCTCCAAAGGCAACGCGCTGGGTATCGCCGGAGACCTGCGCCTTCCAGAAGTGCCTTGGAAGCTCTTCTTGGAAGCTCTTCTTGGAAGCTCTTCTTGGAAGCTCTTCTTGGAAGCTCTTGCATCGTTGTGCAAGTGTTTCTGATGTGAAAAAACGGCGTAGGAGGTTTTGCAACTCGCAGGCTCAGCCATCGCACTGACGTGTGGTCCACGGGAACGCTGCCGGAGCCTCACTTAAGATCCATGGCAGTCCTTGGTGGGGATGTTTGGGATAATGTGGGATAGAGGTTGGAAATTCAGGAATTGAGGATCTTTGAGTCGCATGCGATGGAACGTGGGGCTAGGGGACTGCCTGTGAGTATGTGTGAGCATGGGAAGAAGCACTGCTTTGAGGAACGTGACTGTGAAATGGGTGTCTGTGAGTGTCTGTGAGTGTGTGTGTGTGTGTGTGTGTGTGCGCCTGTTTATCTGGGCAGAGGCTTTGGGAGATGTTCTCGGATGGCCAGCTGCCATGGGTCGCCTGGACCAAGCGGACCGAGGCAGTGTCAGCGCGCAAGGGCCGAGCGAATTGGAAGTGAGAGTTGCTTCAAGGAAAGATCGAGAGCGACAAAAGGGGAAATGAGGGAACTGAGGAATTGAGGGAATTGAGGGAGTTGTCTCGGAGCATGACACTTCCATGGCGACTCTTGGTTTTCGAGGTGGCCACCAAGCTCAAAGCCATGGCAGAAGACGCGGAGGAGCGGAATTTCGCAAAACACAAATTCTTCCATGTTTTGCAGATTGGGTCCAAGTTTTGGGGCGTCCTGGAACTCGCTACCATAAATTGCGATCAGCCCCCCCCCACATCACTGCGTGTCACGGCACGTTGCGTGCCATTTATAGGTCCGCAGCTGGGATGGCAAGGAGGCAGAGACTCAACACTTTCGACTCGAAACATCAATGAAAGAAATCCCTGGAACGCCAGAGCCGGGCCGCTTGAATCACCACAGTAGTGACTTGCTGCTGATGCCTTCTCTCGCCTTTGTGATCCTTTGTGCAAGACACGGAAAGCGCTGCTTCAACGAGGTGAGCCCTGCAAACTTCAAATCGTGGCGCCTTTCACACTTCTTCATGCACGCATTGCTTGCGGCATGGGTGCGAAGAGATATTGCATGCGTCCACAAATGTGCCATGTGGCTGCATGCGTCGTACTTGAGCTTGGCAGCTTGGCAGGATTCGGTATCCGTAGGACTCAATAGGTCTCAGTAGGTGCTCTTGCAAGCCTTCTCAGCGAGTGCACCCTCAGACAGGAGCCCTTCGATGCAGCGGCGGAGTTCCCTCAACAGGTTTCATCCGGAGAGCGAGACTGTGGAGAGAGAGAGAGAGAGAGAGTGAAGAGAGAAGGAGAGGGAGAGAGGGAGAGAACAAGGAGAAGAAGAAGAAGCAGAAGGAGAAGAGGAAGCAGAATAAGAATAAGAAGAATAACAAGAAGAACATGAAGAACAATAAGGAGAAGGAGGAGAAGAAGAAAGAGAGACGTGCTCTCGGCGAAGCCCATCCATGGGGAGTAGTGTCACAACGACTCGGTGACGGCACGCGGTTAAGTGCTTGGAAGGAAGGAAGGAAGGAAGGAAGGCATCCGCCGATTATTCGATCAAGAGCCCCGTGAGCGAGCATGTTGAAAGCAGACGCAGACGCAGCCATGAGGGAGCGAGTATCGACCAAAACCTTCAAGACAAGCAAAACGAGCTGGAGGGCGAGGGAAAGCACTGTGGGGAAACGGCCAAAGTGCCAAGATCTCCAAACCTGCGAGTGTGAAGGTGCATACTACCCCAGTTTCAAAGCTCAGGAAAGCTGAACACATACTAAACACAAGAAGGTCGAGCGGGGTATGGTGAGGGGTAGTGAGGGAAGATGTTTCGCTGATTGTTGTGATGCATGTTGCTGTTGTGGTCCACCCGAAACTGAACCCTCAACCAATAGAGGGGGCGAAAACCGTGGCACTCCAGACAGACTGACACCTGGGACTCGCGCGCAAAGCCCCCTCTTCTGCCCGGCAGAGGAAGAAGAGTAGACGGCTGGCCTTTACTGATCACTTTACTGTGTCGGGGCGTTTGAGTTGCCTGCTGGGGGAGTTGTTTTTCTTGCCCACTGCCAGGGCGGAGTAAGTGGCGGTCCTTTGAAGCAAGGCGGCAAATTGAATGGAAGGCGAACGCACGCGTCGGACCCGATTCCTCAAGAGATGGCTGGGGCCAGCAAGCCTCTTCGTTTGATGGTAACGATCTTTTTTCGGTGCACTCCTTCATCGCTTGGCTTCGTTGGGCCATGAGGGTACTGGGGTTTCAGCAAAGCAGCAAAGCAGCTAAGTTGCTTGATCCGAAACCTTCAGAAAACCTCGTAAGCCTCAGATAGGCTGTAGAGTCGGTAGAGGTCACTGCAAAGGTCTCCCTGAAACGTGCACCTGCCCTCGGGGAGAGTACGACCTCTGGGGCCACATAGTGCTCAGCTTGTGCTGCTTGTGATGAGAACCATGTATTGCCTAGCGGGTTTGGTTGCGGGGATGCCTTTTCAGGTCAAAACAGCGTCTTGTGCCGCTGTTCCTCCTTGTTCACGGTGCATGCTGAAAACCTTGGCCTGTGTGAGGTTTTCGAGACATTGTCAACCTGTCCGCTGTTTGCTTTGTGTGTTGTCACACATTCCGATTTCAGCGTTTTCAACTACCAAACGGGATGACCC